CAGCACCCACAACACAGCCCCAGACGACATGGTTAAGAAGTGATTGTAGAATGACAAAATGATCATCATTTTACAAGTATGTAAATCTGGGCTCCCTGAGGTCCTGAGATTCCCAGAGGTGCTGGGGTGTTCCCAGGATAACGCAGAGGCTGTGGGGTGGAGCTTCAGTTTTCATCCCTCTTGGAAACCCACATGGGCAGGGATATTTCCTATCTGGCTATCTTCCCACTCGGTGCCCAGCACAGCTCTGGCATATTAGTGGATGCTCACAAATGCTTATCTTACAGATTGCATTTGAGATTCTATCTTTAAAATTGGCTCCATTTTTTTTAAATGGACAGCGATGCTTGTTTAAAAGCACTTGAAGGGTTTCAGGATGTGTAATGTTAACTATGGGGAGATTGAGCGTGTGAAAGAATTAAGAGAATTAAGGATAGGTTAAGAGGAAACTGAGTAAATAAAAAAAAAAAGCAAAGCAGGTAGTAACCCCAGGAAGAATAAAGAGTCATATAAGAAAGGAAATGTAACCAAAATATGTGACTTGGCTTGGCAGGAAACAGTATTTGTACAGTCAAAATATAAATAACACTAAAATCCACTTAACAAAAACTTGTGACAAATGCCGATTGAAAGGGGGGAACCAAAATCGGAATATTTCTTGATAATAATAATTATGAGAAGAAACAGTTTGACCACTCACTGGGAGATGTTCATTATTCTAAGCCTTTTATATCTTGAATCCTTATAACAATCCAATAACCTAAGCACTATTCTTATTACTCTCATTTTACAAATGAGAAAACTGAGGCCTGAGGAGGTTAAGTTACTTCCCCAAGGTCATACAGCCAGAAAAGGGAAGGGCTGGGAAGGCAGGCAGCCAGGCAGCAGAGGCCACACTATGAAAACATCAGACCAGAAAGTCAGTCTATATCTGCTTAAAATTGGCCAGGCATGTGGCTCACGCTTATAATCCCAGCACTGTGGGAGGCCGAGATGGGCAGATCACTTGAGGTCAGGAATTCAAGACCAGCCTGGCTAACATAATGAAACTCTGTCTCTACAAAAAATATAAAAATTAGCCAGGCATGGTGGCGCACACCTGTAGTCCCAGCTACTCAAGTGGCTGAGGCAGGAGAATCGCTTGAACCTGGGAGGCAGAGGTTACAGTGAGCCAAGATCACGCCACAGCACTCCAGCCTGGCAGACAGAGCGAGACTCTGTCTCAAAAAAAAAAAAAAAAAATATATATATATATATATATGCCTAAAATTAATCAAGAGAACAGCAGGAAAAGCAAGTTATTTAAAAATATGGAGGTAAGTACCAGAAGAAAAAATTTAAGAAGTTGAAAGTGGTTGCTTTTGGGGAGCAGTGCTGATGTAGAGAAGCACGGAAAGGGATGTTGCTTAGTAGTGTTAATATATATGGATATAAAAATATGTTTATGGTGGGCAGACAGGAATTGGCAGGAGCCATGCAAGGAGACTTTCTGAGGTGACAACATGCTTGATACCCTGATTGGGGTACAGTATGCATTTGTCTAAACTTAGCAAACAGTACCTTTAAGACCTGTGCATTTCAATCCATGTAAATTTAACCTCCAGAGGAACAAACCATAAACAAATATTTAACTCTATCTAACGGCATGCATACTAAAGTGACTTTAATGGAAGTGTACTGATAATTGCAACTTACTTTGAAATGCTTTATAAAAAAGTAAGTTGTATTAATGGATGGACAGATGGGTAGATTCCTGATAGAGCAAATATGGTGAAATGTTAGTAAGTGGGTATATGAATATTCACTGTATAAATTCTTTCAACTCTATGTTTGAAATTTTTCTTAATAAAATATTTGAAGAAATATATGAGTGAATTATCTGAAAAATATTACCTTTTTAAAATTTTTTAAATTGTTTATACTTTAAGTTCTGGAACACATGTGCAGAACGTGCAGGTTTGTTACACAGGTATACACGTGCCATGGTGGTTTGCTACACCCATCAACCAATATTAACTTTTTAAAAATCTGGATGGAGTGTTCAGTCTTTTTTTTTTTTTGAGATAGAGTCTTGAGTCTTGCTCTGTCACCCAGGCTAGAGTGCAGTGGCATAATTTTGGCTCACTGCAACCTCCACTTCCCGGATTCAAGCGATTCTTATGCCTCAGCCTCCCAAGTAGCTGGAATTATAGGTATCCACCACCAAGCCCAGCTAATTTTTATATTTTTAGTAGAAAGGGAGTTTCACCACGTTGTCCAGGTTGGTCTTGAACTCCTGGCATAAAGTGATCCATCCACCTTGGCCTCCCAAAGTGCTGGGATTACAGGTGTGAGCCACAGCTCCTGGCCAGGTGTTCAGCCCACCTGGATAGACCAGCCTGGATGGACCGGCACACCTCTAAGCTCTCCTACATGCACATCTACCTGGCAGCCAGCTGCAGCCATGCTCTCATCTGTATCCCCACCCAACCCTGGGGTCCTAGAATCAAGAACCCATAGCTGAATTCCTCAGCCCTTCCCGGCTCCCCTGTACACAGGATATCAGGCAAGATATGGAGGTCCCCTTGAATGTTTTGGTAGCAGGAACATAACTATGTCACCAAGGACAGGAACAGGCCTCTGCAGCTACACTCCATCCTCTGCCAAAAGAGTAAACTGAGGTCTGTGGGGGGGCTGCCTTTCCCAGGGCCCATCCCACCTTCATGATAGACATGAGCAGCCAGTTTGCCTGGCTCCCAAATCCACGTGTATATAATTAGGTGGTGGGAAATGGATCAGGGAGCAGATCTCATCTCTGCCTAATTAGGGGCTAGGCAGCTGGGGCCAAGCTGACCTGGGGGAGCTGCTTTGGAGGCTGGGTAGCCCCAGGAGACAGGGCAGCAGCTGCAGGCCCTTGAAGGGCTCACACTCCAACTGGAGGCAGAACAATAGAGGAGCTGTTTCCACAGATCCTGAGGCTACAGAGTAGGGGGAGGAAGGAGTACAAAACCCCCCTGCCCTGCTCCCTCGACAGATGCCTGCAGGAAAGCCTGGGAGGCTCCAGAATCCTGGAACAGGGGAGCCCTCCCAAGACCAAGCCATATCAAGACCAAATCAAGGCTCAGTCTGGCACCTTCCCCATTTCCAAGAATCTCTCCCTGCTTTCTCCCCAACAGACTCTCCCAGTGGATTTATGGAAAGACATTTTTTTTTCAGCTCCTGGAAACAGCTCTGGTTTTAGGGCAGAAGTCCCTGAGTATACTTGCTTTACATTCTAACACTATTTACGTGCTGAATTTTTAGTTGCCCGTTCTCTTCTCCAGACTAGGGCAGGGGCCATGTCTGTCATATCCACTGCTGGTCACCCAGTAGATGCTCAGTAATAAAGTGACCAGAAGAAAAGCCTGCCAAGATGAGGAAGAGTGAAGAGGTATGTGTTGGAGAACCAGGAATTCAGACTGTGATACGTCTGGCAGGCAAGAGTGTGACCCCAGACTGACCTGCAGACCTGCTATGTGACAGCTTGTAGGTCACTATCCTTCTCTGAGCTCAGCATCTTACTCTGACAATATATCCACCCTAAGGATTCAAGCACTGAACCCTCCTTCAGGAACAAGGTGTCACCCACCAGTTCTATAAGCTGAACCTCAAATTTCTTCACATGCAAAATGCAGCCAGCGCATCCACTTTCTTAGATTGCTCAGGAGTTGCCAGGTCACAGCAAAGGGCAATGATTAGCCCTGAATTCTAGCAAGGTTGCCCAGGAAGTCTTTGACACCTCAAAGGGCACCACCTCTGCAGAACCTGGCTGGATTCTCTCTCCTGACACCATCATTCCTTTAGCATGGGGACCCTGGAGGCCCAGCTCCTGCATTGTCAAAACTGCTGGGCACCATGGGGGGATTGTGGGTAAGTCACCACCCTCCTCATGCTCCAGTCTCATGAGCTGGAACACCATTCTCTTCTAGAACCCAATTCCCCCTACTTTCCCCAAACCACCGAGGTCCATCCCAGGCCCCTGGGGGCTAGTTGTAGACAGGGAGACTGACAGACAGAGGGACGGACAGACAGCTGGGCTGACCTGGATATTTGTCAATAGCCCAACGGAAATCTCCTCTTTATGCTTAAAATAAAACCTACATCAAACCTGTCACCAGGGCCCCCATTAGAGCTTCCTGTTTCTGAGTGCTGAAGCCAAGGCAGCCTGTGAAAGGAAGCGCCACCCACCCCCTCCCCACTCCCACCATGGGGCACCAGAGAGGCCACCCCCCACTTTACCCTTCATAAGCCCAGCCCTAGCCACTCCACCAGCCAAGGTGGGGTCTCCCAGTAGGTAACTGATGTGGAGGGAGACTGGAAGGAGCTGAGGCCTCGAAGCCCAGTGTCAGCCCCTTTCTTCCCCTTTCCCCAGGTATTGGATATAGCATGAAGGGCCCAGAATGCACCAGTGCCCCAACCCAAGGAGGGCTGTGCTGCCTAACTCTCCCAATGAGGCCCAGAGGGAGACTGGCTTGTCCAGATCACCAGGCAAGGCCACTCATTTTGTGCCATCAAGCCCAAGTTCCTCATCCTCCATTAACTCCCACTTCCCATCCTCACTCTATGGTCTGTGTGACCTCAAGTTCAGGGTTTGCCGTCTCCGAGCTTCCTGCCCCCTTGGGAACTGGGCAAAGGTGGGGGGAGGATGGAACACTCAAGGCTGGGGAGAGTCTATGCAACCCATCAGTATTTCCCCTGCAGGCTCCCTTCCCGGTGCAGGGGAAAGACCCCATTCCTACTCCCAGATCTATCCCAACTCACTGGTGGCTGGACCTATTTCTTCCTCAATGAAGCAGGCCTGCCAGCCTTCCAGGAGAGTTATGAGAACCCACCTGGAGGACATGTCTCTGGCCAGACCGGCCGCTATCGTCATGCCCCACCACCATGCCCTTGGGGTAAACAATTACTGTTTTGATGGCCCCACCCCAAGACTTCTCTCACCCCTTCTCTTGTGAACACAGAAGAGTCTGAAGGCCCAGCCCTTGAGAAACAAGCATTTGTGTTTATTAACCAAGGGGAGGTAAGTCAAAGCAGTGCAGATTCCTAACCAGCCCCCAACATTGTCTACCCACCTAGGCCAGCTGCCAAGGACTAGGAAGAGTAGTGGATAGGCTCCTCCCCACTGCCACGACCCCAGGGTGAGTTCTGCTGGGTAAGGAAGAGGACGTCAGCAAAGGGCAGAGGCTAAGGAAGGAAGGAAGGATACAGAGCCACTGGCGAGACAGGATGGAGGCGATCCCTTGGCCCTCACTCTCAGTGGGGAAGGCAAAGCACCCCAAATACAGCCCCACAAGAGGAACTAATCAGGAATAACATGTCAAAAACCTTGTATTGGGGTGGAAGGAGGGGTTCTCGGCTGTCCAAAGAGCAAAACCCTTCAGGGTCAGTCCTTGCCCAAGAATGCTGGTCCAGCCTCTAAGCCTTTGCCTCCATACCAAGTTCACCCCAGGGTGGAGCCTCTGACATGCAGATCCGGAGAATGGATGCAAGAGAGGTCCAGGGGCCACTTGCCTCTGTAAGATCTGTCCTGTGGCGAATTCCAGGTCCAGCGGCAGCCTAGCCTTCAGCTGCGGGGCTCTCCCGTGCCTGCCTTAACCCATACAGCCACTTGATCACGCGGGCATTGCGCTCCACCACCGACACACCGTAGGGGACGCGCTCCCGGGCCCGCTCCTCAACAGTAACCGAGCTGCGGCGGGAGCAGCCCCCTTCAGAGCTGCCCGGCCCAGCACTGGGCCCGGCCAAGGACACGATGTCGGAGCTGGCCCGTGCCAGGTGGGCCACACCCAACCCTCTTGCCTCCTCCGGGTCCAGGCCGCAGAAGTTAAAAAAGCGCTCCAGGTCAGCGGCTGCCCTAGAAAAGCGCTCGCTTAAGTCCGACTTAGAGCGTTGCAAACCCGGTGGCCGGGCTGGGCTGGAGGCGGCGGCAGGACCCGGTGACGGGCAGGGCTGGGCAGGTGACGCAGGCAGAGGGCGGACGTCCACTCGGCGGACCGCAGAGGTACTGGGTGGCGGTCGTGGGGGGGTGGCTGGGGGAGGCTGGCCGGCTCCCTCTGCCCGTCCAGGAGTGCGGCTGGCCTCAGCAGGGGACACGGGACTATCACACAAGTTGATGAGGCTGCTGAGGATGTCCAGGTCCAGCTGGGGCCGTCGGCAGGGGCCAGGCAGGGCTCGGCGGCTGGGTGTGAGCACTGTGCGGCGAGTCTCAGGACCAAAGAGTGGCTGTTTGGACAGCAGGGGCTGCACAGGTTCCTGACGGGTGTTGGCCACATGCAGGCTCTTGACGTACTTGGCCTTGTCGGCCTCCAGGCGCTCCACAGCACTCGGTTTCCGGACTCCACCATCTGCCGGCCTCCGGAGCAGGTAGCCGGGGACCTTGGTCCGCAGGCGGCAAGGTAGGGCAGGGGCGGCCGGGGCTCCAGGGCTCAGCATGTCCACAGGCATGGCTGCTGCATATCCCAAGGGATTTGGTCTGAGGAGACTGGAGAAATGAGGAGCCAGAGATCCAGGCAGAATGGAGGCAGCTGGACCCCGGCAACTGCTGCAGTGAAGGAGAGAAAAAGAAGCTGAATGCGCTCAGACAAAGAGGCTCAGCCACGGCTGAGAGAGGGTAAGACGCCTTCCCAGTTATACGGTAGAGACCTCGCCCCTTCTTCATAATGAGCCAATCAGCAGGCACAAAGCAACAGCTGCTGAGCCTGAGGCCCCACCCACACCCCCTCCCTTCAGCTCCGGGGGAACCAGGCCCAGCTGAGGAAGAGAGTAGAAAAAAGGTGCTAGGGAAGAAAGACCTAGGCAACCTGAGCAGAAAAGACAGCGCAAGACCACGCGCTAACAGGAGCAAGGGAGGCTCCAGGCTCTATGCTATGCACCAGTCAACTCAACCTCAGTGTCCTCTCAACAGCCCTTTTTTGGGTGGAGAAACTAAAGCCCAGAGAGGTAACCAACCTGCTTAATAACCCAGCGAGTAGGTGTCTCTGCCTCTTACCACCAAGAAGGAAGGTGCTGGCACAGGGATGTTAGGGTTAAATGACCAAGAAAAAGGGCTCCAGCCCCACGCCCTACCTCGACTGCCCACAGGGAGCCTGGTACCACTTCCACCCTTCACCCATCCAGGCAGGAAGCTACCCTGTGCCATCCACCCGCCTGAACATGCCAGGCCCCAGGCAAAGGGCAGAGCTTATAGGGAAGAGCAATGAAAATCTCCACCCCCGCCCCAGTGGAGTCCAGACATCCCTCAGCTTCCAATATGGAACTGGATGGCCCACGGTGATCCACAAATGGCTGTCATGTGGAAACAGCACCGAGCTATGCTGCACTGAGAGAAGCTGGGAATGTCCAAAATCACACAGCCCTGCATGGAGGCATCCAGCAGACTCTCAATCTGCCTGCAGCCATGGAATGGGCACTCATAGGGAGGAGGGCACACACCTGGATGCACAAGTGTCTACATGGGCACCCAAGTATCAGGGCCTGATGCCCCAGGCATCAAGCCAACCCTGACCCTGTTTCCAAGTAAAGTCAAGCCCACAGTCATCCCACAGGCCCCTTGGAGGTGGGGCAGAAGAAAACCTATATACCAAGTCCCGAATATTCTCATCTGTAAAATAGGGGGGGGGGGGGGGGAGGGGGGGGGGGGGGTGGAGAGAGAGAGAGAGAGAGAGAGAGAGAGAGAGAGAGTGTGGGGGGGGGTGTAGGTACTTAATCTAGGTGTTCCTCAAGAGGACATGTAGTCCAAACCATCTAGACCTGTGCTGTCCAGTTCAATAGCCACCAGCCCACTAGGGATAAACTAAAGACATCTAGGTATACCCTTCCTGTTGCAGGCATCTGGGTCCAAGGTGGTAGGTGTATTCTAGGAAGCTGGGAATCCAGAAGTACATGAAAACTCTAAATTAATTGTCGACATATTCAATAATAATGATTATTAAAACATGGCATGTACAGCAAACAAAATATGTCTGCAAACCTATATCTGTCCCCTCCTCCTCCATCTGGCCCCCAACCACCAGCTGGAGACCTCTGCAGCAGCGTTGAATTGGGAATAGAACCTTGGGTGCTGCTTCCAAGGTAGAGAGATGGAGTGGATAGGAAAGGAAGGCTCACCCCACCAGGGCCGACCCCCAGGAGACCGCAGGTGGGAAGGGCCTGACAGGAAGGGAGCACAGTAGAGGCAGCCAGACTCTGCCCCACTCCCAGGCTGCCACCTCCCAAACCAGTCCAACCCGTCTGCAGTGGCAGTTCCCTCGCAGGCACCATCCAGGGAAAGAGGGAGGAAGGAGGTCAGACGGGCGGGGCACGTCCCCGATCGGGCCCCCAGCCCCATGGCCCGATCTGCTGGCCCTGCGGTCCCCTCTGGAGGGACCGGAACAGATGCGAGGGCCAACCCCAAGTTTGGCACTGCGGGCCCGCCGGCCCACCGGCTCACCCACCCGCCTGCTGTGCGCCTTGCGCAAGCAGCTACGCCGCTTTACAGACTCGGTTACCTTATCCGTGAAATGAAGTTAAAAATAGACCTTCCGGAGCCTCCAGGTCACGATAAGGATGGAGAGATTAAGCAGGTCGAGGGCTTTCCTCAGCATCTGGCAAAAAGGCGGCACCACCAACCAGGCTCCTGGTCTTTATGAAGACTTTGACGACCCAAGTCCACAGACCACTCCCACGCAGGGGTCTCTAAGTAAGCCCCACGAGGGTGTGTCCCAGTCCGCACCGCGGACAAAGCAGGCCCAAGACAGAGGCTGATCAGTGAGCTGACCTCAACAGCCCCATGTCAGGAGTGGGCTAACGGAGGTGCAGCGGCTCTTGCCAGGTGAAGCCAGGGTCCCAGTCCCCAAGCGTGACTCAATGTCCCCTCTGGGGCCTCCTCTCATCGCCCAATGCCCCAGCACGGATTAAAATGCATCCCATGAATGCCCCCAACCGCCAGCCCTTCTGGTTTGCATCCCCGGGGCACGCATCCCCACCTCGCCCCCTCCCCACCCACTCCCCGGCGTCAGCCTCGGGAGGCCGCGGGGCAAGGTGCGGGGAACTCAGTGCCAGGCACTGGCTTTTGCTCTCCCTCAATTCGGGGCAAGCTTGAGGACTCCTGGTGGCGGGGGATGGGGGACGGCTAGCGGGGCGCTGTGTGACCCTCGCCACTGGCCGCCCCTGAGTATGAGTTGGCCTGTCTCTCAAATGAGGGAGAGGGCGGCACGATCCGCACAGTCCTCTTGAAGCCAAAAGGTGGATCCCTGCCCAGTTCCCGCCGTCCCGGGGAGGGAGGGCCGCCCACTACCCCGGCTGGGCGCCCCCTACCCCGATCCGCACGTACCTGGCTGCGCCCGCGCGGCTGGCCTGCGCTCCTCCAGCCCAGCCCACCTGGGGCTCAGGCAACCTGAGTTTGCGCAACTTCCGGCGGCTGCGGGCAAGTGAACCCGCCGGCCCACGTATTACCCGAAAGGAGGAAGAAAAGCCAGGCAGGGGCCGGAACCCGAGCCCCGGCGGCTGGCAGCTGGCCTGGCTCAGGAACCGGGTCCGACCCGCTCCAGGACCACCCAGGAAAGCTCTTCCGGGAGCCGAGACCCGCCTACCACACATCTGGCGCGCGGAGTCCTCGTGGCCCTGGCAGGCAAGCGCACCCATCTGAGAGATGGACAAACTGAGCCCCCCTCCCTGACTCAGAACGACCGCCAGGTGCTGTTCACTGTGCTAGGCACAGGAAAGTGATTTTCTTGGTATTGGGTAACCCATTTTAATCTTCCCAACAATCACTTATCAGGTGAGTTCAATTGTTACCCATTTGACTAATGGTAAACTGAGTCTGGGAGAGGCTGAAACACTAGCCCAAAATCACTCAGGGGAGTCCAGCCTGGGCACTTTCCCTCAGACCACGCCTTAACGCCACCACTTCCTAGCTGTGTGTCCCTGACCAGGTTTCGGGACCTCTCTGGCGCTCCATTCTGTCACGTGTAGATTCGGTCCCTCTGGAACAGGCTGGGCCTGGAAGTGCCTTAGAAGCCTCGTGAAAGCAGTTTACATCCTTCACATCCCAAACAACAGCCGTAATAGTAGCAACAATAACTAGAATTTTTGAGTGCCAGGCACCATACTCATTTAAACCCCCCGAGTCTCCTCATTTAATCCCATGAGACTGCAGCCCTGCAGGAAGGAATTCCCAGGAGGGAGGTGAGGCGGTGACTGCCACCTCTTCCAGCCCAAGCCCTATAATTCACTTCAGGTAGGTGCATTTGATAGGCCATTTTCCACGGGAATCCTGAGACCCAGAAAGGAGGGGTCCCCCAGGCCTCAGCCTCAGCCCTCTGCTCTGCACAGGCTGAAGAGGCTCCTGTTCCCTGCCTGTGGGAGCTGGGCCAGGGCTAGGTTGTAGGGCATGAGGAGGCCGGCAGTGATTCACATCAGCTTTCCTTCCCCTGGGCACTGCAGCCTCCTCCAGTCCCTAACTTTACAGGGGAGGGGGCAACAAGTCCATCATCCCCCAAATGGCCTGCAGGGCCCTGCCTAGCCCTCCACTGAGGCAAAAATGGGGGATGGGGAGTGTTCCTTTAGGCACTAATAGTAGTAACAGCAAAACAACAATAATGATTTTCATAATAAAAAAAAAAAGCAAATCTCATCTGAGCACTTTCTTTGTACCAGACGCTCTTCAAAGCACTTTACAAAATGTTAACTCATTTGATCCTCACACCTACCCTGTGAGGTGGCTACCATTATTATATTCATTTTTGGATGAGAAAACTGAGGCTCCAAGAGGTAAGGCCACTTGCTCAAAATTACACAGCTGATAAATGGTAGAGCCAAGATTGGAACCCAGGCTCATATCTGGGGAGGGGAGGTGGAAGAGACAATATTTTCAGTGTTGGGCTTTGGCCCCTCACCAGATGTGCCCTCCAAGAAATTCCTAAATAATCTACTGCCTCCTCAGCTGGACCCCAGAGTTAGAACCCACCTTAGGAAGCACTCCCTGGTTATGGTTCTGAGTCTCGGTTTCCTCTGCTGTAAAATGGGGGCAATCATGGCAATGTTTTCCCAGCAGAAATAAGATCTCATTACTGCCGGGTTTAAACCCTCCTGTGGCTCCCTCACAATAAAATCCAAGCTCCCCACTTGGCCCTCAGGCCTTCCAGGACTTAGTCCTTATCCAGATCTCCCATCTTATCTCCAGCCTTTCCTGCCCTGGCCACAAAGCCCTCCTTGCTATTCCTGAACACAAGGTCTTTGCTGCCTCAGGGCTTTTGCACCAGTTGTTCTCTGCCTGGAACCTCCTCCCTCATCCACTTCAGATCTCACCAAAAAGGGGGTCTCAGCTCTTTCACCCATTTTATTCCTTCCTGAGCATTCATTGCATCCTGTCATTTTAGATACTCTGTTATCTAGGATAGGAAATATAACTTGTTTGCTGTCTCTCCCACTGGACCATGAGGTCCATCACACCCTTCCATATTTTCTTCCTCCAGGGACCAAACAAGAGGAAACACCACTGGACAAGTGGCTGGACTGGACCCAGGACACCTCAAAGGCCAAGGCCAATCATTGAGAGGTATACATTAAATGTATAAAGCTTTTTCTTACATCAATAAGGAAGAAGAAAAAGAAAGAGAAAAAGAGAGGAAGAAAGAAAGGAGAGAAAGTTAAACATATCTGTCAGGAATAACAAAGAAGTGACATTGTGTCCTTCTTAGTACGTGGTATTGGGAGGCTTCCTTTTTCTTTTTTTAGAGATGAGGTCTTACTGTGTTGCTCAGGTTAGCGTGCACTCCATAGCTCACTGCAGCCTCAAACAGATGGGCTCAATCCCCCCATCTCAGCCTCCTGAGTAATTGGGACTGTAGGTACATTACACACCCACCCATAACAACAGTTTGTCTTAATCTTAGTGATCAGCCAATTCCTTGGTTAAGGCACTATCTGCCAAATTTCTCCACTGTGCAGTTATTATTTTTCCTTTATAATTAATAAATATTTTGTGAGAAGAAAAAAGGCCAGGGTCCCTAAGCACCAAGCCTCCTCCCCAAACTCTGACGCTGTTCCTGGCCTCTCTAGACCTGTCCTACTCTTCCTCCCACTTCAGGTCACCCCCATTCAAGCTGGGCTCTGACCACTTCTACCCAAGACCTGTTCTTTCTCCAAAGCCACCATATCCAAACCTCTGCACACACTGGTTGTACTGCCTGCAGTGGCCTTTGCCATTGCATCCCCCTGGCCATATCTGTAAGGTACAGCATGGACTCCAGAACTCATTCAAATCCCAGCTCCACCATGATTAGCTATGCTACCTTGGGTAAGATACTCAACTTCTCCATATCTCAGTTTCCCCAACTGTAATTGGGAGGACTCACAAGAGTGCCTCCCTCTCTGCATGAGGCCCATGAATGACAAATGCCACCAAAGTGTGGGCGATGATAACTATTCAACCAAACAGATCATCCAGTGGCCAGCTCCTGAGGGAGGCCTTCATCAGCCCAGAATGCTGACCCACTATTCTCAGAGGTTACAAATCTAAGAGAAGCACTGGTAATGGTTAAGAATGCAGAGTCACTTGAATAGAGATTTCTCCAAAGATACACAAATGGCCAATAAGCACAATAAAAAACACTCAGCACCGTTAATCATTAGGGAAATGTAATTTAAAACCACAATAAGATACCACATCGCACCCCTGAAGATAGCCATTACCAAAAAAAATACAAACAGAAAATAACAAGTGTTGGTGTGGATGTTATTTTGAGAAATTAGCACTTTGTGCACTGCTGATGGACACATAAAATGGTGCAGTCACTGTGAAAAGCAGCAAAGTTGTTCCTCAAAAAATTAAACCACATTGGGCTGGGCATGGTGGCTCACACCTGTAATCCCAACATTTGGGGAGGCCAAGGTGGGCAGATCACGAGGTCAGGAGTTCAAGACCAGCCTGACCAATACGGTGAAACTCCATCTCTACTAAAAATACAAAAATTAATCGGGCGTGTTGGCATGCATCTGTAGTCCCAGCTACTGGGGAGGCTTAGGCAGGAGAATCACTTGAACCCGGTAGGCAGAGGTTGCAGTGAGCCAAGATCGCACCATTGCACTCCAGCCTGGGTGACAGAGCAAGACTCCATCTCAAAAAATAATAATAATAATTAAAACAAATTTAAAAAAAACTAAAGAGAATTACCATAGGATCTCCCAGCAATTCCACTTGAGTGTATACCCAAAACAATTAAAAGCAGGAACTGAAACAACCATGCTCAAAGCAGCATTAATCACAACAGCTGAAAGCAATCCAAGTATCTGTCAAGGAATGAATGGATAAACAAATGTAGCACATACATAGAATATTAGAATATCATTCAGCCTTAAAAAGGAAATTCTAACACATATGACAATGTGGGTGAAGCTTAAAGATATTACGCTAAGTGAAATAAACCAGATACAACAAGGCAAATACTGTATCATTCCATTTATAATACCTAGAGGTACCTAAAGCAGTCAAATTTACTCAAATAGAAAGTAGAATGGTGATTGCCAGGCACTGGGGGGTGTGGCAATGGGGAACTGTTTATTGGGTATGAAGTTTCAGTTTGGGAAGATGAAAACATTCTAAAGATGGATGGTGGTGATGGTTGTACAACAGTGTGAACGTACTTAACACCACTGAACTGTATACTTAAAAGTGGTTACAATGGTAAATTTTATTTTATATACATTTTACTACACTCACCCCACCCCCCCCCATCAAAAAAAAAAAAAAAAGCAATGTAAAATGTAGAGCCAGACTCCCTGGGTTCAAATTCCACCTCTAGGTGATCTTAGGCAAATTATTAAACCTCTTGTGCTCAGTTTCCCCTCTGCAAGATGGAAATAAGAACAGCAGTAACTACCTTATGTCACAGAGTTGAGGGAATTAAATTAGTTCATACTTGTAAAGTACTAAGAACACAGTAAGTGCTCAAGAGGTGTCAGTGATTTTTACTCTTTGGTGAGGGGGTGGGAGGTGTGGTTTCCAATGGTTATAATTTTCATGACATTCTATACTCAATCCACCCCCTTCCTTCCACCTGCTTCTTTCTTTCCCTTCAGTGGAAGCCTGGCCTAGATTTGGGGAGGCCCTTGCCTGCCCCAGAGGAGATCAGGAAGGCTCCAGGCAGTGGCAAGGGGCCAGCCAACAGGGCAGCCCAGCTCAATTTCAGCCCAGCTGTCCAGGTCAGAGACACCCAGCTAGGCCACCTCCAGAGCCACAGCAGTCCCTGAACTATTTCTGGAGGCCTCCCAGACGCTGGTGCCCTGGCCTGCCCAGGAGTCAGCCTTGCTCAGGGCAGCCTTGCACAAACTTTAGGAAGGGAGAAGGGAGTAGGCTGTGGAATGGGTGTGGATGTGGACATCTAGGTCCACTGATACGCTCACCTCTACCAAATTGATCTTCTAGGCGTAGGTCTGCACTTGAGATTGCAAAATGGAGACAAAAGATTTTGCAGTGGGGGCAGAGTGAGAGAGATAACACATGCAAGGTCTTGGGGAAGGACCTGGCATGCAGGATGACAAAGGTGAGGGGGAGGCAGAGCCACAGCCAAGTCCAGTTCCTATCCTAGATTGCCCTCTGCCCAAGCCGGAGTGCACCATCAAAACTTATCTCAGCCCAGAGAGTGAAGAAACTCACTCAATGTCACAGAGCAAGTCAGGGACACAGCAGTGGTCTCATGATTTATAAAAATGTCTATATATAAATCTGCGCACATATATATACGCATATATATATACATGTATATATATATACGTATATGTGTGTGTGTGTGTGTGTGTGTGTGTGTATATATATATAATTTTTTTTTTTTTTTGGAGACAGAGCTTTCTTCTTGTCACCCAGGCTGGAATGAAATGGCATGATCTCAGCTCATGGTAACCTCCGCCTTCCGGGTTCAAGCAATTATCCTGCCTCAGCCTCCCAAGTAGCTGGGATCACAGGCTCGTGCCACCACAGCTGACTAACATTTGTATTTTTTAGTAAAGACGAGATTTCACCATGTTGGCCAGGCTGGTCTTGAACTCCTGGCCTCAGCTGATCCACCTGCCTCAGCCTCCCAAAGTGCTGAAATTACAGGCGTGGGTCACCACACCCTGCCTTAATTTTAAAAATTTTAAACCGGGTGATACATGCATACAACTCAAAATTCAAAAACAATAAAGACAATGAAGTTAAAAAAAAGAACTCCTCCCACCCTGTCCCCAGTTCTCCTCCCTGCAGGTACCACTGTGACCAGACAGTTGCTTATCCTTCCTGGGAGACTTTAGGTAGATGCAGGCAAGTATGAATACATATTCTGTCTCCATTTTTACACATATGGTATCATGATGCTGTGTGTACTGTTTTCATCTTGTTCTTTTTGCTCAATAATGTATTTTGTTATTGGAGCCACATCAGTACATAAAGAACAGCCATGTCCTTTTTTCCCAGCTACACAGTATAATTTCCCATCATCCCCTACTGGTGGCACTTAGCATGTGCATCGTTTCTGCCTACAAACCACATTGCAGCATCACTGCATCTACAGAATTTTGCCTAGAAGTGGGACAGCTGGGTCTGGGGGATGGCATTTGTAATTGTGACAGAGATGGGAGGACAGCACTCTGTGAGGGCTGTGAGTTAACCTCCTGCCTGCACAACACACAAATGGTCCATAAATGTTAGTTTCAGTTATGTTGATTACTGAGGTTTTGGGCATCCCTAAATTTTGCACTGGTGGTGAGGACCTCAATTGCCTCCGCCCCTGCCTTGCATCACATTCTAGTGGAAGATGATAAATGTGCTAATAAGTAAAATATACAGGACATAACGCGGAGTAAATGCTACTGAGAGAGAAAAAACATGCAAGAAGAGCGGGCTTATGAAGTCAATAAATAATATTTGTTGAAAGTATAAAGGAAAGTCTTGTTTTCTTTCTGAGTCCTCTGAGCTCCTGTCCCGAAAGCCAGGAGGAGGCGCCAGAAGAGACAGGATAAGTAACTCCCTGGTGAAGAGATTCAAGACTCTCAAAACGTATGATTGAGTGTCAAGGATTCTAAGATTGAAGCCAGAGGGACTAGGAGCCAACCACTGCATTGTCTGACTGTGACTTCGACAAGGGGCATAACTTCTTAGAACCTGTTTCCCCACCTAGAAAAGGAGACTGACAACAACCTAGGGGGCAGGGGTGTTCCCAGGAGACAGAGCAGGGACTGGCCTAGGTCAGATGCTCCACCTAGGAGGATCCCAGCCCCACCCCAAATTCCAAAGTCTCTGGTGACTAGTGGCTTTGGTTTAGGGACTGGCTCTATTCCCTTCCCCAAAATGGGGCAGATTCCCAAGAGGCCAACAGCAACTCTGGGGGCCAGAGAATCTGCTGCCCCTACATCCAGCCCAGAAATGTCAGTCCGTCCAATCCCCAAAGAGTGGTCCTCTGAGGGGCAGCTCTGGAATTCACAGCCTCGTAGGCAGAAGGTCGCCAAAGAAGCCAAGCCCAACCCCTACCGAATTCAGAGCCCCGTAGGCAGAAGGGCGCCAAATGAACCGGGTCCAACTGCGAAAAAGGAAACACAGACCCCCAAAAGGGGTATCCCGAGGATACCGCGGGGCGGGAGGATAGGTGATCCAGCCAGGGGTCCATAGGCCGTGTCCCTGCCGATAAAACGATGGGAAAGTGACTACCGGTTGCCCGTCTGGGCCTCTCAAGGCAAATCCAAACGTGACTAGAATGGAGGCTGCGAGGTGGGGCGGAAAGACTTGAACCGGATTCTCTGCCAGAGCTCGCCGGGCCGGGACACTTGCCTCCCTGAGCCTCAGAGTCCTCATCTGTGAAATGACACGCAGGTACGACGCGGGGAAAACGCAGACAGCAGGCGCTCGGGGAACCGAGCACCCCCAGACCCGGGGTCGCACCCGGAACCACTCCCGCCCTCACCTGGAGCCCGCGCTAGGCGTGTCTCGGCTCCTCCAGCGCAGACTTTGGCTGACAGCTCGGACCCGGCCGGGAATGGCCGCTCCCAACGACGCCCGGGAGGCCCTTGCCCCGTGTGGGGACCCTTGGGATCCTCTTCAGAGCTGCCCCCCTCAGCCGAGCTGAGCGAGTGGCCCTGACTGCCGAAGGACCCCACTGGGGGGGGAAGTCTCTGGGGCGCCGAGGAAGGGGAAGTGAGCACGCCACCCCCCTTCACACCAGAATGGTTCGCCCCGGATTTCCTGATTGGTTCCTCGCTTCCGTTCGAACGCCGCGCCGCGGGTGTTGCCAGGCGACCTCTTAGCTTCAGCCGCCCGGAGGGGTTGCGCGGCTCAGAAGCCCCGCCCCCTCCTTCCAGCTGGCCCCACCTTCTTCCCTCCGCAGTTTCAGCCTCTGCACCTGGTTCTTTCACTTCCTCCTCCCTCCCGCTTCCAGCTGGGACTTTCTCTAGGTCGCCAGCTGGAAGAGTTCCAGTTAGAGGACCCTGGCTGGTTCCTGGTCCTGACTTTGACGCTAACTCCCTGTGTGACCCCTGGCAAGCCCCTTCCTTTCTCTGTTCTCCTAACTGCGTGACGAGGGAGTTAATTTTAAAATGTGCACACCCAGCAGCCCGAAGTTTACAAAGGAAATGACCAAAGATATGAGCAAAGATTAATATTGCTCAGCCTTATTCATCGCAGCAAAATAATGGAAGCAACTTCAATGCCTGTTGAAAGGAGTTGGTTACATAAGTCCATCTGTGGAAGAGCTAACTTAATTGAGTTTTTTTCCATGCCAGGTAGCTTTACAGAACAACTCTTGTCAAGGCTCATGACATAATCCTCTAAAAGTAATTTTAATTATTAACACTTTTTTTTTGAGATGGAGTCTCATGTCACCCAGGCTGGAGTGCAGTGGCGCGATCTCAGC